GTGATAAAATTTTACTTTATGATCATAAGTATTAGTAAACAAGTAAAACTACAAACTAACAATTAAGGAAGTACAATTAATAACTTTAACACACACTGAATTTAGACTAAAACGGAATAAAACAATTAGGTACTAGCTATAAGTAAATAAATAAATTTTAAACATGGTTACTGTTGTAGGAAGCAACACCCCTAAGGAGTTTTTTTTGACCAATTTGCCTGCCTGGCCAGGAGGAAATACCATTTGTTTAAAAAACTTGAACTTACTGATGATTTCCATTTAAAACTGGGCATAGATAGTACAGGCGGATCTTTAAAAATTTGTCTGTCTTTATGTTGTTACGAAAATCCCGAAATAAAACAAGAAAAACATAAATGTACTGGAATAAACAAACTTATAATAGGATTGGCTCCCAAAATAATAGAAACCTACAAAAACATCAGAGCAATGTTTGAGATTTTGCAACTCGATACTATTTGTGGAGTCAGTTCTTACACATTTGCCGCAGATCTAATGTTGATAATGATCATATTATGGGCCTTCAATCTTCATCATCATGCCATCCATGTGCCTGGTGTGATGTTAACTCAAAATATTTACAGTCAAGTGGAGAACTACTTTTGTTAGTATTTCACAGAAAGCATTGGGCTTTTACTCTGAGCAAGCCTCAGAGCAGGTGCATCATTATTTTAAGTTGTTCCCAAAAAACTTTAATTTAAATCCGAGATCAAAAAACTATCAAAAAAATCTCCTTAGGAGTGTTGCTTCCTACAACAGTAACCACGTTTAAAACTTATTTATTTACTTATAGCTAGTACCTAATGGTTTTCTTTCTTTTTAGTCCAAATTCAGTGTGTGTTAAAGTTATTAATTGTACTTCCTTAATTGTTAGTCTGTAGTTTTACTTGTTTACTAATACCCTTATACTTATGATCATAAAGTAAAATTTTATAACTAAAATATTAGAAAAAAAATATTTCTTTGCTTTTTGCATTGGATTAAAGTCTATTTTTATTTAAATTTGTGCAGAAACCCAACCTCCTGGACTTAGAAACATGGAGGGGGGCAACAGTAAGCTTACCTTTTGGTGATGATGGTCGTTATTTATTATTAACAAAACTTTCTGCGCGCTTTTTACTTTGGTTGAAAAAGTTTTTTTTTTTAAATTTGTGTAGAGACCCCAATTGTACGTCGGCGATTTTAATTTTTATATTTTTTTGAAGCCAGTGGTATCGGCATTTAAAAAATAAAGTACTCAAAGTTTATATATTTTTTTCTTGACATCTTGGCCCATGCTAACTGTGATTGGTCTATCAGCGATTTTCCCTCGTATATAACCGCTTCCTTTATAGCGTAAACCTCTGCTTGTAGAACATTACAGCCATCCTATAATAATAACTTATATTTTACTGATAAGATGCCTATACCTGTGCCGTCTGAAGTCAGGGGGCAGTTAGTTGTGCGCGTCACTTTAATTCCCTAGAAAATCGTTTTTTTTTAATATCATCTGTCGAAATCTTCTCAGACTCGTTGGACGGAGATTAGCTCTTGCTAATTGTATTTGCAACGTGTAAATTGATGTGGAAGTATCGGTATTCGAGTATGACGTGCAACATTGGATTTTACCAATTAAATAAAGCATTTAAAAGTGCCAAAACGATAGTGCGTAGTAACTAATATGCTCAAAGTTTTCCCTTCTATTAAAAAAGGATAAGCCAATTATCATCTCGTATGTAACGTATGCAGTACAACTCTTAGTACTGTTCACAAAGGCAAAAAAGTATACTTAACACTTTCTCTGCTGCTTGTAATTTCCCCTTTAAAGTCTGTGTGTCTGTCCGTCTGTGAGTCGGGGAAGAATATCGTCAGAGAACATCTAAAAAATGACAGAAAATACATTTTACCTGTAAATTAAAACGACATGCAACACTTCTCACTGTCAGGTGTTTTCTCATTAGACAATAAACTTTACCAAAATAAATTCATGATTTATTTATGGCGATGCCTGGACGAATTTGTCCGTATCTCAGAGCTCACTTGTCCTGAATTTCGAACGACGTTTTTTCGTGACGACATTCAAAAAATTATAGAAAATACAATTTGCCTGTGAATTAAAATGACAGGAAAAACTGTCATTGTGGGGGATCTTCTCATTGGACAAACTTTCCTACTAAAAGTATACTTTACTACTTTACGACTTTAAGACTAAGAGTTTATGTAAGTTTATGTTTAAGATGTTTAGTGTATGTATTTGACATCAATGGATTTCATAGAAAGCAACACATTTTGATATACAAGGTGAGTCTTAAGACTCACCTTTTTTACACACTTTTTTAAATAAGTGCAAATATTTTCAGGGTTGATAGATCTCGATAAAAGAAACATATTTTCCCTTTCCCGTTTTTCAGATATGTCCAAAAAAGCCGAGTAATTTTACTCTGAAAATTTCCAAAATAATGTTGCTTAAATTTTGACAACCACTGTCCACCATTTTCAGAACTATTGATTTTACTATCTATGTTGCCATATCATCAAGAAATTATGTTTATTAACTAAAAACTAAAATAAAATCCAAATTTTTTTTATATAAAAATTCTGCGGTCGAAATATACTACCCCTAAAATATTTGCACTTATTTAAGACTCATTCTAGTATAAAAATGCCATTTCCTTTGTTGGAAACAGAGAAAACTAATCAAGTGAATTGATCTGCTGCTTCTGACCTCTTCATATTTATAACTCATAATCATCAAATCTTCTTGAAGACTAGACCATCTAAAAATCTCAGAAAACAACTTTTTTACCGATACACCGATTATGGCTTATTAATACCTCCATAAAATAAACCCATTTCGTGACCGGACTACCTTGTCTACAGCGCAACACCACGAGAGCCTCGAACGCGTTCGAACAAGCTCTAACAACCTTTGGATGGGTCGGCCCCTCAAACCCCGACCCTTTTGATGGGCTTTATTTTGTGATGCCTTATTCTGGGCCCCATACGAGCTTTCATAATAATTTCCAATGCGCCGGCTACCTGCTAGAGATCCCAAAACAAATTCGACTAAGACAAAATTAACCTTTCATTTGGCCGAATCGGTTGTCTGCACCAATCGTGTTACGGATAAAACGCTTAATAATGTAAACAACTATTCTGTGAGTTGGATAATTTGATTTTTTGCGTATAGTTTTCTTTATTAATAACACCAAATGTTCATAAGAGATCCGCTATACTTGCTCTTGCCATGTAAGATGTTTCAACTTCATCTATATTTCGTCAAGAATGGTAATTGTGGTGCATAGTTTGAAGCTGATGGGTATCTCTCAGGCAATATGCAGATCTTATTGTACATATAACTGTAACAGGGTTGTTTCATAATGAACTAATGAACTTTTAAGGGGATATCACTCTCACCTTACTGGTTACGTCTAGTTAACTCCACAATTTTTTTTTCTAAGGGAATACGAGTAAGTTCTTGAGGTTTCTGTAAGGATGTGTTGTATAAACTTCCTGGTTTATCTTTGGACTAGGGTGTTTTACACCTATTTTACCTACTCTATTTGTTCAATTTTTTAATTATGGATTTCTTCTAGTGGCTTTGGTAACGCCAATGGACGGTTTGTCTTCGTAGGAGGAAAAATTAGTTCCCTTTAAAAAAGGGAATCAGCCAAATCATATCCAAGTTACTCAGTTTATTTACCAACTTTCAGTCCAGCCAGCGTTAGGACTACTGCGAAGTCAATCTCTGACGCCAGAACTTTTTATGCCAGGATAGAAGGATATATTCAAAGATCAATTACTTATTGACGAATTTATAGAAGAAGAAGAAGCAGTTAGGTTAGGTTAGGTTAGGTTAGGTTAGGTTAACTAAAGAGCAGGAGAACGCGCAAAATCACATTTTTTTTTATTTTTACTGATAGTTCAGCAAGCAAAACGATCCTTTAAAAAATAGCCTTTGCCAATCGTTCTTTGCAACAATTAGGCATCTTCATTCAGCATCTTCATTAGGCACTTCATCACAACAATACATAAATGACAACATTATTTGGACTGCCTTGCTTTTGGTTGTAGCAAGAACAGGGCAGCTCTTCGAGCTTCCTGCTTTGGCTACCAGAATTTATTAAAATGGAGCTGCCTGGATATTACAGCCGCCTCTTCAATTATTCTTAATTCTTATTGACTGGACCTTTTTTTTTGTTCTTTTTGTTCGCATTTCTTCCGGAAGAGATATATGTCTGAGCTCCGTGAGGATTACGCTACAGCTCGAAGACTATGGCCAGTGGTAGATATCAAACAGACAAAACAAATACTAGAACACAAAAAGAATCTAGTACGCATAATGGTAGGTATCACCACTGGAAACTGCCCCACGGGGGTAAACCTCGTGAGATGGAAAATTTCCAACGACGACTACTGCAGGGAATGCGGAGGGGAAGAAGAAACCATATAGCACCTGCTGTGCCACTGCCCTGCACTGGAATACCGACGCTTTAAAACATTAGGGCAAGGTTTTTTGGAGGGACTAGACGAAGCAGTAGAAGCCAACATCAGCGACATCGGGAACTTTGCAAAGAGCTGGATGTGCTTTAACGCAAAGAAAGAATGAGGGGGAGGTTTGGTTCAACAATATAGGGGTATCGCAATGGGCCCAAGGCCTCCGAGTGAGGGATCAAACATGATACCAAACCCCATCAACCTAACCTAACCTAACCTATATGTCTGAGCTTGATGCTTTCTGTCTTTGCAGACTGCTTTGATACCAATAAAATCATTGATGTTTAATATCCATTTACTTGTGCGCAACATGTAGAAAGATTCTATCGATGTTTTCGGTAAATTTAAATTTTACTGTGCTTCATCAGTTAATATTGAGCTATTCACGTCTACAGTCTCGGAAATTACTAACTTTTTAAATTCTTTAATTTAAAACGGAGTTGGTGCAGATCGGTTACCCTTCGCGGCGAGATAGCGCGACTTGGAGTTGTTCAGAGTAGGCCGGGGTGTCGGTTCGTGCATGTGTATGTTCTCGATCGACGATCGTTCGTTGACGATTCGGCCGCGTCAGTCTCACAAATTCTCTCGCGCTTTTCGGTTCGTACCGGTCGCCGCTCCTGCTGATTGCTGCTGCCGTCGTCGTCGTCTGTCTCTTACATCATTCGACACGTGTCGGTACGTTACCTTGGGCAATTCAGGATTGTTTAGCGATTTCACAGCTGTTTTACGGCCAAAACAACTCGACTCCAGCGTTCCAGTCGGCGATAAGGCCGAACGAAGATTCCAATTTTTTTTTTGTTGGTAAGTCCGATTTTTTTTTGGTTTGTTTGTAGTTTCTAGAGATTTTCGGAGTCATAATGAGTAAAGTTATGTGCGTTTAACATTATTTTTAAGTGATAAAAATCAGCTTTTTTCTATTGGCAAGTACTACTTTTTTGTAGTTGTTTTTTTTTGGATATGGAGATACGATACGTTAAGTTTTGGTGGTTAGATTTCAAAACTAAGTTGACTATAATTAGTTTATTTCTGCTGCTTACTACCAGATTTGTTAAAATTTGCAAAATTGAATTCAATACTAAAAAAGATTTTAATGTGATATGTTTGAAATGTTGTGTTTACACATAGATAAGAATACAGTACAATTACCTAATTCGAATTATTCGTGAATCATTTATTCTGGCATATTCGGGTGATAAGAAGCTAGATTTAATTATTATTCTTATTTATTTTTTATGATACGTCTATTTATACCTACTTGATGAAATATATTTAGCAAAGTTAATCATAAAATCTTGTAATTTTTTGATAATTTTTAGTCGTGATGAGCAAATGAAAGACCAAACATCTTTGGTTTTGGTCTTCGTCTGTAGGTAATTTAGTAGTTATCGTCTTGGTCTTGCTGCAAGACTCTTGCAAGTCTTGCATTTTTACTAGAGGCACATTCTACATAGAAAATCTCTAAATAAACCTTTTATTTTTAAAGAGGGAAATTACTAAAATAGCTATTTTCCTGATTTTGATTTTCAGTATATACTTAATACATTGAATCAGCATTTATTTCTTTAAAATGTTATGCCATAATCCGGATAACACTATATTAAATAAATTAAAACAATAATTTGTAAGAAAGAAATGCCAGACCGCAAGACTCTTGCATACTTGGTCTTGGTCTTGCGGAAGGCTTGCACTGGTAGGTCTTGAATTCTGGTCTAGTCTGGCCTGGCAGATCAAACGCTAGTTATGGTCTTGCTTTTTGTGCAAGACCAAGATCACTCTTGCTCATCACTAATTTTTAGGGAACAAAATTAAAAATTAGATATTCATTTTTTTTCACAACTATGATTATATTATTAAACAGTGGTCATGACAATCGTTTTCAAAACAATTTCTTTTCAATTATGAACTAACTGAGGTTCCTTAAGTGTGTTGTTATTCATTTGAAATTCATTAATTGTGGGGAAAATGAATTTGTTGAACTATATGCTAATTTGTTTCTAATTTATTTGTTTAGTAGATAATATCAAATAAGTATAATTTAATTACTGACTGAAAAATAGATTTTTTGAAGCTTTTTTTATGTTTTGATTCTAACAGAAAAACTAGGATTGGAGTAAATATACTAAACTGAGACTAGGACTACGGTTTCAACCAGAATTGTGAGATGAGCCCCTTCCCAGTTTAGTGGTTTTTTGATAAAATAATAGGAATACATATTACTTTATCAAAAATACCTTCTTGATTTTTTACTCTAACAAATCTAGATAAGTGTTTAATTTTTAGATAAGTGTTTGGATTTCATACAGAAATATGATGTTAGTTCCTTCACAGTTTAGTGGTATTTGATAAAGTATTAGGAATATCACTTTATAAAATATACCTTCTTGATAAGTGTTTAATTGGCTTTAATTTTTAAATGGTTTTGTCAAAGGTCAAGTTTGAGTGTGGTCAACGACACGAAAATGATCTACATAATATTTTTAGCTGAATGGCAATTGTCCATGAACAATATAAAACTTAAATTAACCTTTATACTTCATTATAACAATAATAATTGTTTATATTGTTATGCTGTGCATAATTTGTTTTGAATTATAGGTAGTAATTATAATTATGAAGCTTCTATTTACCTTTGAAAATATCAATAAATTTTAAACTATATTTTGACATTTTTATAAGCTAAGATTTGTGTAAAAATTGGTGCTTGATTTTTTACTCTGTTATGATCATTAACGATTGTTCTTTTCCTTTGAGCATATTTTAAATGCTTTTTGTTAAAGGTCAAGTTGGTCAACGACATGATTAGCTAAATGACCATTGTCCATGAACAATATGAGAACTAAATGAACCTATTATAGGGCAGTAATAATAATTATTATTTTTATCTCTTTTGAATTGTTAGTAGGCAATAAAATAATTTTATATTAAAAATGTAAGTTCTTATCAAAATAAAACAAAAATTCATCACAATATACCAAAACACTTCTAAGTAAAGCCGTTTTACAGTTTTTTCAATTTTATTAAATAATTGAAATTGAATTTAATTATTTGAATAAATTTACTGACAATTTTAATTTATTATAGGAGATCTTAGTGACCTTTTTAAATAAAAACGTATTACAATATATTGAAGAGATGTGACGCATCACCCGCATCAATGGAAGATTCGCCGCTGAAAAATACCCAAAGGTTGCAAGATGAAAATTATAGATCAGGATCTATCATCTGCAAGTGCAAAAAAATTGCAGCAACTTATCAAAAAACTCAGAACGTGCACGCGTTGTAACTTTTCTTGCATATAAGTTGCATGGTTAAAAAAAGTATGATGATGCTGACAGGGTTAGTACCATCCAGTCTGTTTGTTGTTTTGCTCCAAATGTGTTCCAGCTCTAACTGTAGTAAATTCTTAAATACCTAGGTGCATTTTTAAAGCGACAAATAATCTTAAACACAACCATTTATGAAATCTCAGAATTAATTACATACATATATAATGTATTACTGATCATGTGTTGGATAATTCACTAAGAGATTATTTTCTATTTACCTTTGAAAAAAAATACCTTGAATCTATCAGATGATTACTTATAATATTTACAGATTAGTCATTCATGCACATTAAACAAACGTGGTCGACTTACATTAAAATAAAATGGTAGGTCGGTAAATTATATATCTCATTAGAAAAGTAATAAAATTTGTGACCACTTCTGGTTTTTATTTGGTTTCTGAGGTGTTTTTATAGTTATTGAACAGACCTGGTTAACAAAAATAGGTCAGTATACTTATATTTAGAGGTTATTTTAGCACACATTGAAATGCTCGCTTTAAAATATAATGCAATCATGTTGTTTTGATAATAATGTTAATTATGTTAAGACATTTTTGTTTATATTACATGTTGTAGTAAAGCGAATCGACTTGAGTAGTAATGTACTTAACGATTAGTCATCGCTAGAATCAGATGTTATTTTTAAAATTAAACATTCACACATTTCAGAAGATAATTGATCTCTTTTATATCACGCCATGAAACTTTGTCACAATTCTATTACATTTTCGTTCTAGTAACTATTTATTCAATATCTATCGATAATTAGCACCTCATTACAGAAAATATTCATATAATTTAGTTTGATATCACAAATAATTCCTAGAAACCAAACCATTATAAAATTTGTCTATCTATAAGTATGTTATGCACTACAACCACTTAACTAAAATAGCTGTACCTCTCTTAAAAGTGCATTAAGTATTTGCACGTTTCAAAATTAATGCTATACTTTTTGGCGCTGTGTTAGGTACAATTTTAGTTTTTTTTCATTTAGTTTGAAAAACGTGCCGTATATCGTACTTGAGTGTTAAATTCAACTATATTGATAACTGTAATATAAATGGTATATCTAAGATAAGTATATATGGTATACCAAAAACTCAAAGCATTAAAAAATTAAAAATACTTATACGGGGTGTCCCAGAAATAAGTGCAAGTGTTTTAAGGGATGGTAGGTCCAGCCAAAAGAGAAATATATTTGCTCTTTGCAATTTTTAGACTAAATTGATAAAAACCGAACTACTTAACTTTGAAAATTTAAAAAAATAATGGCAACATTTTGAGAGCCGTCGGCAGCAGTCGATAATCAGCCTAAAATACCAACCAATTACCAGAATCCTAGCTTGTTCGACACTCAGTGTTGACACATCGATTAGACAGATTTAAAAACGACTTGGAAAATTCAGATTAAATGTAAAAAAATTATCTAATATTAGAAAACGGGACTCCGATAGATAGCAGATCGATGTAATTAGCTTAGAGCGTCGTTTTATCACTCTACCTAAAACCGCAACCCTACACTTAGCAACACTTCATTTCACTGTGATTCTTGACAGCACCTACACTTAAATACCCACCAGTATTTGGCACAAAATACATTCATAATATGCTATATGAATTATTTAGGATTATTTTTTGGGAATTAGTAGCCGTTTGCACAAATTTGCAGTTAAACAGAGTTTAAGTAATCACTTATATTTTAGTTTAGTTATTATTCACTTATAGATTATATTTTAATCGATCATTATTAGCCGACCATACCGACAGGTATGGTAGGCTATTAAGATCGGCAAAAAACGTTTTTTTTTAATTTCTCTCAAAATGAGTTATTTGGGTCATAAATGACCTAAATAAATACAAAATATTTTCATGGTGTCTGTCTGTCTGTCCGTCTGTAACACGATAACTCAAAAATCTCTAAACCGATTTTAACCAAATTTGGCACAAAAATATTGTGGCACCCGAGAATCTAGCCATTAGTTTTTGGTGGGGGTGGGGGGTTGGGGGTGGAGGTAAGTGGGTATGGAGTTAAAAATTTTAAAAAATCGTAACTCCAAAATTGCAGTAGCTAGCGAAACGCGGTTTTCAATTTAAGATTAGGAATAATATTTGCAACAAAAGTTGTAATAACATCAAAATCAGTCAAAGTCGCAGTTTTTGAGATATTCCGTATTTCCGTAGTCCGTTTTTGAGAAAATCCGTGTGGAGAACTCGAAACTCCCATCGGACGCGACCCCAGGTGGCGGATCGGATAGGGGAAATAACTGCGGACCAAAATTGGAAAAATTTCTTTGCTTTGAAACTAAAAGAACTGCCTACGAACTTTTTATTAAAATATTTTAGTATGAGCAGCTATACGTGCCTCCCGGCGCCAATTTTTTTTGTTACATTTGCACCATGTACAATGAAAGATTGTTTAGTTAATCAGGGAATAATTCTTAGCAACAACGTAAATCTTTGCTAGTAAATG